AAGGGAAAAAAAAAACCCCCAAACTTTTTGGGGGATTTTCCCCCCGAAGTATGACTCCCGTCAAACCTTCCTTTCCCGTTTTTTTAGGTTCGCGGGCGCCCACGCTTTGACCCCACTGCATTATCCGGACAGAAGCCCGCTGAAAAGAGGCGGAAACTCAAAAAATCATCTCATCTCCCTCTAAACCCTTTAACTGTCATAACTTTTTCTGCAAATGCAAGCCCTTTTGGGGGGCCCCAATTTTTAACCCGTGTTTTTCCTTTTGCATGGAGACCTGGTATAAATGATTTTCATGTGTTTGGAAAAACCAAGGATTTCAAAAAGGGAAAACCCCTTTTAAATCTTATGCAAAGTAGGGACCAAACTGAGTGGGAAACCCTTTGCTTAATCATGACTTAAATTCCCCTTTTTTGGCCCCCCTTTTTTCTCTCTCCTCCGTAGCCCGAGGGTGGTTTTCCCAAGGGAAAAAGTTAGCGTCCCCGTTCTGGAGAGGGGGGGGGTTCGGTTTCCCGGGGGGCCTTTTTTCCCGATGACCCCGGGCAGGCAGTGGGAGCAGAGGGGGGAGCTTATCAATGGAAAAGGGAGGAGGGGCAACAGGGCCCGAAATTTATTGGGGGCGTTGGATGATTGAAAAAACAGGTAATTTTTTACCCTTTTCCCCTTTATCTATATCACATTTATTCCGTCCCCAAATGGGTTTTTTTTTAAGTAATTTGGGGATTTTTCTGTTGCTTTTCTTTCGTTTCCCCCAGCATTTTCCCCATTTTGTTTTGTGTTTCAGGGAAGGAAGCAGAAACCCACAATGGTCCAACCCCCTTGGGGGGAGTGCATGTTTATTTTTTTTCAAGGGTTTTATAGACCTTGACATCTTAGTGGGTTTAAAGGGGAAAGGGCAGTATTTCCTTTTTGGGAGCCCCCGAGGAAAAAATTTGACCAAAGGGAAACCCCTTGTACCCCTCCCCCACCAGGAACGATCAGACAAAAATTTAAACCCAAACCCAAAGCCCACTCTTCAAACTAAATTTAATCAGTCCCGTTAGCAAAAAAATGAAAGTCTTTTAATATGAGCCTGGGGACACATTCTGCTGAGAACCTTGCTGAAACCCAAAGTTTATCATTTCTGTTCCCTGCCCTTTTCTTTAAACCCCGAAGGCTCCCCAAAAATTTTTGGGGGTGACTTGGGCATAAACGATGCCCGGGTGCAGGCCCCCACAGGACTACTGAGGGAAACCCGGATAAGGGGCCCTAAAACCAAATTCTGCACACTTTAAAACCCCTTTGGCAGGGGAAATTAGTTTAAAATTGTCCTGTCTGCAAACTTTAACCAAGGGCCCAAATACTATTTTTAAATCGACACGTGACTAAAAACCCGACCCCTGCAAATCAAAACTGTGAATTTTTTTTGCACACATTTCCCGCCGATAGGCTTATGCCCAAATGCAAAAAAGAAAGGGTTCCACACTGCTTTTTTTGTCGCCCCTGGGAGAAGTGGGCCCGATCTGGGGGAAAAGTACCACTGTGAAAGGGGTTTTGCCCTGTTGGGTATTGAAAATAGAACTGAGGATGACTGATTTTTACTACGGGTTTTTTAAAATTTTGCCCTTTTGTCTGTTGACCGTAATACCCCCCTTTTTCCCCCCTTTTTTCTTTTTTTACGAGTGATTATGAATGCAAAAAATTGTTTTTTGATTTAGATGTTTTAAATCTGTAAATATAACTTTCTTTTAACATTTTAGGGTTTTGCTTTTGGGGAGAAGTATAATAAAAAAAAAATTATATATATGAAATGAATGTTGTTTTCCATTTTATGTCTTCCAAAATATTTTTTTGGAAAAAATGCCCCCTCATGTTCCCAATTTTCATTTCTTTCCCGTCCCAGCCTGTGTTAACTTTAAAGAAGGGGGGAAAGGGCCCTGTCTGTTCAAGGTTTTTTTGGGCCCCTTGGATCAAGTTTTTGTTTTCACCCCAAATGCTGGGATAATGATTTTTGCTTTTTTTTTTGTGCCTTTGTTTTTTAATATTTTTAGCCTAAGACATATCTTTTCCCAGTAATCATCACTGCACCGCTTTGGTCTCCATAAGTGGTTGAGTGAGTGCACCAAGTGCACTGTGTCCCCCCCCCTCTGCATACGTTATGTTTGGTTTTTTTGGGCTGAAAGTTTCCCCCCCTAGGGCTTTTTCCAAAGGGGACTCCACTACAGCTGGCGGGGTCCCCATTTTTACTAAAACCCTTTCCCCGGCCCGGGCCCTTCCCCCCCTGGGGGGAGCAAATTGGGGGCAGGAACCCGCCCGCTTCCTCCCTCCACTACTGTAGGGGGGATGAGAATATGGGGGAGCTGACAGCTTTTTGGGCTGGAGGGGAGTTTTGGGTTTTTTTGATTTTCCCCCTCCCCTGCTAATAAAATGTAAATGCTTTTCCCCTTAAAATAAAAAAACCATCTATCAGAATTAAGCCAAGCACCCAGGCTTTTTTTTTCATTCAGTACCTATACTTTTTTTATTTGTTGGATTTTGTTTTCCCTTAATATTATATTTTTAAAAGTAAACCCTCAAAAAAAGCCCATTTCATAGAAATTTACAACCCGGGCTAATTTATTAAATTACTTTGAAGAAATGGTGATTGGGCCCCAAATGGGTTTTTGGTAGTCATAATTTTAGTGTCCTTTTCCCTTTTAACCCGCCATTTCCCCAAAGGGCGACTCTTCCCACAGCCAAAACATTTTTTTTTCAGCTTCAGAAACACTGCCTTCACCAAATGGGAAAATGGGGAAAAAAATTTTTTTTCCACAATTTTGGCCCGGACAATCCGTCCTGGATTGGGGCGAAAAAAAAATGTTAGGCTGACCCTTTATCCATTTACAGAAAAATCCCTTTTTTGTTGTGTGCAAATTGCGCATATTTAAAGAGAGCGCCATATTTTTAATATTTTAAAAAAAACATTTTAGAAATATTTTATAAAAAAAATTGTAAATTTTTGGGCTACATTCAACTGGGAAAAATTTATTGTGATAAAGTTGGGGAGAAAAAAATCCCTATTGGGTTTCCCTGCCTGGGCCTTTAAAAAGGGTCAATCACAACTTTTCCCCATTTTTTAAACCTCCCCAAAGCCATCCTTTTTCCAAAAGGGTCAAAATTTTGAAGGGAAAAAAGGGGTTTTTGGTTGTTACCTTGCTAAATACTTTAAATTTTAAAACCCAAGATATACTAACCCAAATGTTTAAACTGTGTCCCTTTGCAAAGGAAAAAAAAGCATTGGCAAACAAACGGGGAGATCCTTTTGCCGGCCCTTTTTTTTGGGAAATTTTTAGCAATTTCCGTTTTTGGGAAAGCGTCAATTCCCATAAAACTTACTTTGTTGGTAACAGATTTTTTGTATTGGGAACAGAAAATGTTTTAGATCCGATGTTTTTAAATCGATGAAAAATTGCAGAAAGTCTTCCCCAGTTTCATCCTCTCCCACTACCCCCGAATGGACTTCCTCTCATACCCTATTTGGTGGTTAAAAAAAACTTTTAAAAAGGATTCTTCAGTTTTATACGCCCCGTGCTTTTTTTTCCCGGGTTTTTTCCCTTTATGTCTGTGCTAAAAATGCCTTTCCCCCAAAAAAATCCCCCATCCCCCTTGTAGGGGTAGTTCCCTGGCAAGGTTTTGGGTAGTTTTTCTCATGCGTTTAAAAAAAACCCTTAGGTCTAACGGTTTTTTCTCGCCCGAAATGCCTGTGCAAGCCCCTCCAAAACAAAGGCACCCTTCGATATATATAGTTGCTGGTTTCGAAAATGAAAACGCGAAAATTCCGGGAACGCTTTGCCAAACAGACAAAATAAACATTCTTCCATAGTTTTAAACTTCTCGAAATCCCTTTAAAGGGCCCAACCCCAGATTCGGCAAAAAGTCCCTTTAAATAATTAACATGTTTTTTACTTCCCAACCCCCGTTTTTAAAATGACAAATTGACACTTCATTTTCGTCAAAAAAAACTATGTCGAAAGAAATTCCTTTGATTTTACAACTTTCCCATCCCGCAGTTCGGCCAAGACGACCGTTTTGACCCATAACGTTTTTGCGCTTCAGCTTAGCAGCCAACGGTTTCCAGGGGGTGATCGGGGATTTCCCATTTCAAAAAGCAGTTTTTTGCCTATCTTCATACTGTACTTCTTTGCCCCGACTCCCGATGATTTACATTACCTATTGATTAACGGACAAAACAGTGTCGGTTTTTTGGGGGGGGTTAACATAACTAAAAGCAAATTTTAGCACCCCTATGTGGTTTACGGGAAAGGGTTTTTTCACAATGGTTGAAAATATTTGGTCGTGGGTTTTGTGAAAAGGGGTTGGAAATTAAAACTTAAACCGGACTTTGGCATATCGGCATTTCGCACGTGCAAAAGGGAAAATGTAACTAGTTTGGCCTGCTTTTGGTTTTAAACGGGTTTTTAATGGTTAATATTTTTTAAAGGTGCAAAAATTGGGGGAGATAAAACCAGGTTTTGCCCCTTCAAAATATTCTTCAATCGGAATAACGTCCGGGGGCGTGGCTCCCTCTTTTATTTTGGACTAGCTAAATAACCTTGGCCGCAGCTAAATCAGGTGAGGCTGCACTCATTCACCACGAAAATTCTGATGAGGATGACTAAAACGCCAGTGATCACAGCTCCAGCCCAAGGAGTAAGGGGGATATGAACCACATTTGCTCAAACGCGGTCGGATCCAGTGTGGTCGGCAAACGGGAAAGACGGACTCTACAAAACATGCTCTGATTTCCCCCACTTTGCGAAAACGTACACGAAAATTTTTACACAACTGGTGGTCACATGTGATGCGAGCCCATGCCAAATTGAATTGGAGGCATGAGGGTTGCGGCCTTTTCCGTTGGATCTCACCCCGACGAGGAGTCCGATTTGCTGGGACGTGGGTTGGGGAGGCTCCCCCCCCTTCTTCTACTCAGAAAGCTGTCAAACGCCTCATCGTCTGGGTTGTCACCAGCCCCGTCTTTTAAGAAAATGAAACGACCGCGGCTGTCCCCGATGAAGTTCCCCGGGGGAGTGTGCGTGGGATAGGGGGTCATGATAATGAATCATGCTTTATCCAGCTGCCATATGATTGGACCAATCACCCTGAGTCTATGTAACCATCTGCTCAGGAAGATGCATGTCATTAGATTATATCATAAATAAACCATCTTTGATTGTATGATTAGAACTGGCTTTTGGGTTTACAGTTTCTGCTTAGTTTTAGGTCTGAACTGCTGGAAATGAGGGCAATGTGTGGGACTTCTGCAGTCCCAGTAAATCTCAATCTGTCATGTTTTCCTGTAAATCTTATGTATTTTTACTGCTGTGGAAACACTAGTTTCTGTGGGGGATCTGTAAACACTGACACAGAAACCACACTAAGTCCACACTGTAAAAACTCACACAGAAACTCTAAAAAACTTGTATCCTAGGTGCCCACTCTCCCTACCCCTCTCCTCATCCCTCTGTAAAAAACAGAGGCTCAAAGCCTGACACTGTATAGGCTGAGCTGGGGGTAGATAGTTTTATCACGATAGAACAATGAGCCACAGGCCTCCGAGTGGCACGTGGTTTAAGGCAGTGCTAGAGGGGTTCACACAGACCCGGTTTTTATCCCAACCGGGAGACCCATGAGCAGCGCCCAATTGGCCCAGCGTCGTCCGAGTTAGGTGATGGTTTAGGCCGGCCGGGATGACGTTGGCCCATCGCTCTCTAGTGACTCCTTGTGGCGGGCCGGGCATGCACGCTGACTTCGGTCGCCGTTGTACTGTGTTCCTCCTACACATTGGTGTGGCCTGGCTTCCGGGTTAAGCGAGCAGTGGGGTCAAGAAGCAGTGGGGGCTTGGCGGGTCATATTTCGGAGGACGCATGGCTCTCGACTTTGCCTCTCCCGAGTCCTACGGTAGTTGCAGCAATGGGACAAGACTGTAACCACCAAATTGGATATCACAAAAAAGGGTAAAAAGTACCCCAAAAATTAAAATAAAGATAGAACAATGAGCCAGAATATTTCACCGGATGTATTTAGCTCATTTTCTCATCGTGAAACATTTGATCTCAATACAGTTTTCTGTTCCCCCAAAATAAATCTGTTACGAAAGAGTAAGTTTGTAGATTTTATCCGTTGCAAAGTTTTAAAATTGCAATGTTTAGAAGAATGCAAGGGAGAATTGAGTTTATTGCACTCGCGCACTTCACAGAGAAGGCGCCAATAGGATCTTGCTAGCTCGTGCTTGCTCTGCCCCCTACTTGTTGTTCTGCCCACTGACTCATTGTTCCTATTGAAATGACAGGGGCTGTGGTCTATCTTGGGTTATATACAAATCTTTGGTTTGTCATGCTAGTAGGCCTAGATACATAACCTTTTAGGGCATTAGAGTATTAAGACGTGTGGATAATATTAGAGATTGGACAAAGATGGACATCATTCTTGAAATCTCATTGTATTTAATGGAAAACATGTAGTCTAGGCAACTAAGGTTTGAAGTACAGTAAGGTTTTGTCAACTCAACTTGAGGTGTAGCCTCCTGCCAGGGGGTTTTTGTAATGTTTTAGTTTTCAGGTGTAGCTGCAGGCCACGCATACATAGAGAACAGGTTGGGCAAGTATTTCCACAGATCCCCATCTGTACATATTGTCAGGGGGACACGTTTAGAGTATTGTCAAACTACAGAGACGTAGAGCATAAGAATAGAAAGTCAACGAAACAGAGAGAGAGAGAGAGAGAGAGAGACATGTTAGGGCCTTTATTTAAAAAAAACATTGGCGATGTTTAACAATAGGAGAGTGCTGCCGACAGTTCCCTATGAAATGACCGCTGTAAAGAAGCAAAACATAGCAGCGAATTTTAACAGATGTTTTTATTGATTAGCATTCATGAAATGTTAATCCAAGTCTGTACTGTGTTGTGGTGTCAACAAATTGCATGTCTGCTTTCACTGGACATCTTCATAGGTTTTTGAAAACCATGAGAAATAAACAACACAACGCGCGCAGTGGCAATTATCACTTAGCAACGGCTATGGAGGAAAAAGTGGCACTGAACATTCAGACAGAAATACTTAACGTGTGTTGTGGTCCAGATTTTCTCAAGTTCATCACAGCTTTGAACAAAACAAGACCAGCAGCCTGTAATGTTTGAACGTGTGCAGCTGTTGCACAAGATCCCAGCCCAACCCCTACAACATGTCTTGGCTCAGTCTGGTGGCCAATGGCAGTTTCCATAGAGACTATCGGCCATAGGTCAGAAAGTTGTGTGATTGAGTCTGAAGTCTGAGGTTGTCGCTCTCATGACAGTGTCTCTCAGTGGAGTCACAGGAGAGCAGGACAGACAAACAGTAGTGAAAGAAAGCTAGAGGTGTTGTACTGCACACTAGGAATGGGGTTGTGAGGTGTACTTGCACGATTGATTGGTCTCCCCCATGCAGAGCGTCACATGGAAGAAACGCCAGAAGCACAGGGACCTTGTCTCCCCTCTCAGTGCCCCCCAAGAAGCCACAGCCCTGGGTGCAAGTGGTCGGACATGCAGGTTGGTTCTTTCTCTGTCTGAATTTATTTTTTAATTGATAAACTTCTGCCTTTCTGTATTGTGAAGTTAGTCTTTCTTGCTGTCTTACTGCTAATAGAAGATGGCTGTGTAGTACCAATGTGTTTTGAGGGTATAAAATGCCTCGTCTCTTGCCCCTCTCTCGTGGCTGGTGGTCCAGGGAGCTTCCATGCAGGGGACTATGGGAGGGCTGCTGAAGCGCTACACTGAGGGGGAGCAGCAGTGCTGCAGAGGCTACATGGAGGACTCTCTGAGACCCTTTGTGCCAGGCTACCACGGAGTGGTGCAACGGGCCGGGCAGGACTACAAACATGATGGACGACCTGCTCACACACTTCAACTCCCTGCCATCATGGATTGCAAGATGGGCACCCGGTGAGTGAGACTGTAATTTAGAGACACTGGGGGCTGGTTACCCTGACCCAGATTAAACCAACCTCTTGACTAAAAAGTCCAGGAATAGGCAAACTGGAAAGTATCAGACCCTTCACTTTTTCCACATTTTGTTACGTTATAGCCTTATTCTAAAATGTATTAAAAACATTTTTCCTCATCAATACTACACACAATACCCCATAATGACAAAGCGGAAAACAGGTTTTTAGAAAGTTTTACAAAACCCCCCAGAAATACCTTATTTACATAAGTATCAGACCCGTTGCTATGAGACTCGAAATTGAGCTCAGGTGCATCCTGTTTTCCATTGATCATCCTTGAGATGTTTTCTACAACTTGATTGGAGTCCACCTGTGGTAAATTCAATTGATTGGACATGATTTGGAAAGGCACACACCTGTCTATATAGAGGTCCCACAGTTGACAGTGCATGTCAGAGCAAAAACCAAGCCATGAGGTCGAAGGAATTGACCGTAGAGCTCCGAGACAGGATTGTGTTGAGGCACAAATCTGGGAAAAGGTACCAAAACATTTCTGCAGCATTGAAGGTCCCCAAGAAACACAGTGGCTGCCATCATTCTTAAATGGAAGAAGTTTCGAACCACCAAGACTCTTTCCTAGAGCTGGCTGCCCGGCCAAACTGAGCAATCGGGGGAGAAGGGCCTTGGTCAGGAGGTGATGGTCACTCTGACGGCTCTAATTTCCCGGGGGAGAGGGGGAGAACCTTCCAGAGGAAAAACCATCTCTGCACACTCCCCCAAATTGGGGCCTTTATGGTAGAGTGGCCAGACGGAAGCCCCCCCAGAAAAAGGCCATGACAGCCCGCTTGGAGTTTCCCCAAAAAGGAAACCAAAAAGGACTAGACCTGAAAACAAGATTCTCTGGTTTGATGAACCAAGATTTAACTCTTGGCCTGAAAGCCAAAGGTACGTCTGGAGGAAACCTGGCCCCAAACCCTCGGTGAAGCAGGGGGTGGGGAGAATCATGCAGTGGGGAAGTTTTTCAGCGGCAGGGGGTGGGGATTTCGGTCGAGGGGGGGAAAAAAGAAGATGAAACAGGGGGCGAAATCCGGAGATCTTGGAAAACCCCCGCTCCAGAGCCCAGGCCCCCGACTGGGGGGCGAAGGGGTTTACCCTTTCCCCCGGAAACCCCCCTAACACCGGCGCCCCCCGCGGGTGGCTTCAGGACAAGGTCTGATTTCCTTGGGGGTGGCCCAGCCAAGCCCAAATTGAACCCGAAAAAAACCCTCTGGAGAGACGAAAAAAGTGTACAGCGACCGCCCTCCATCAACCAACCCAGCTTTGAGAGGTTTTTGATAGAGAATGGGAGAAAAATCCCAAAAACAGAGGCCGCTTTTAGCGTCTACCCAGAAACACCAAAGGGTGTTCGCTGCCAAAGGTGCTTCAAACAATATGAGAAAGGGTCCAATACTTATTAAATGTGGTTTCTTTTTTCTTTTTCATTATGGGGTATTTTTGTAGTTGAGGGGAAAATTCCCTTTTAGGAAAAAGGCGTAAAAAAATTAAAAAGTAAGGGGCTGAAACTTTCCGAATGCTCTGAATAAACCAAAGAATGATATTTTTAGAAAAATACTTTTTAGTAGTTAAAATTTAAAAAAAAAAATGACACCAGGGGCACCCTCCCAAATATTAATTTTGGGCGGGGCCTAAAAACCCCGAAAAATAGGGGGGTTTTGGGGGTGGGTTTTTTTTTGTTTATGTCTTAGATCTCCTGGGCTGACGCAAATTTGTTTTCGTTTTTAAAAAGCTAAAGGCACCGTGTGGCCAAATTGTCCCCCAAACCCCTTTGAAAGGGAAAAAAAGTTTTAGGGTTTTGATAAATTAGATTCTCTCAAAAGGACATTATAAATTTCAGGGGGGCCCACTGGGTCCCCGAACCCCCCTTTGGGAAAACCCCTGGACTCTACCCTCCCTCAGCCCCTTCATTTTTAGCTTGCATGTCTGCTCACTATCTCGTAAAGCAAAGTTTTTTTTGTGGAATTTTTTGTGCCCTTTTTTAAGATTTAGCTAGCTAATTTCACTCCCCTGCCCC